TAGATAGTAGACTATCTATGATGAAACATGGCTGCAAAATATAAAAACTGCCAATACTGCAATACAATACATTGCAATCATAGAATTGCCAATCTTAAATGTCACCAAGTTTAGAATGCTATACACAATATTCCAATGATCATTTACAACTAATACATGTAGTATCCTTCCTCTGTTTCTCTCTCTTCTAGTACTACGAAGAATGTCACTGTATTTATTTGGAAAGAAATGATGAAATCTCTTGGATCAAACAAGCACCTCCTGTACAAAGTAGTTGTCTGGGAGACTGATAAAAATAAGTTTACATACAAAGGAGAAGAAGAAATATGAAAATAATAATAGCATTATTTTGACAACTACAGTCTCGTTAAAATTCATTTATTTGATTTTTATCATGCCTAGTTGAATTGACCAATCAGATTGCTCAATTTCAGGTTCATAAATAGCTTACTTACCAAAAAGATTCCCAGAAGGTTGAATAAGTAGCTCAAAGATAAATAAGTGGCCTGGAAGTAACTTAACCCCCGCCTTTCTCCTTCTGCATTACTTTCCTTATCTACAAAACTCATTGCACCAAACACAAAAAGTCCACCATGATACTGAATGCTGAACTAGTTGTAGTTGACTGAATGTTACAAACTCTTAATATAAATGATAATTACTTTAATAAATGGTATATCTAAATCCATCTACAATGTCAGTTTAATGATAAGATAGTCAAGGATGATAACCCCAGCAAACAGAAAGAGATAATTAACTTAGGTGGACGGATCTGAAATGAAGATCATATTCAGGAATATTTAAGCCTTTTGGTATTGCTCTACGAAAGAAGAATATATCATCCAGTGTGTAGTCATCTCTGTCAACTTTAGCAATCATTACTCGTGTACCAGGAGGAACACCTTTTACACCAAACTGTACAGCATCAGCATCTTTCAATAGTCCACCACTGTTTATAAAATAATCCTTTAACTTCTCTTCATATGCTGACCAAGTTCTCTTTAATGAACGATTTTCGGGTAAAAATACTCCAACAAGTTTTATCATTAGTTTATAGTTGAACCATGATAGGTATTTGTCTTGAAGAATAAAAAATAATTTTGGCAGTGTTTTCACGTCTTCAAATTCTTCTCTAACTGCTTTGGCTGTTGTTTGCTGCACCTTTTTAGGACCAAGTAATGACATTACGTGTATTTGTAGATAATTGATGATTTTAGGAAGATCTTTTGATTCAAAAGAATTCATCGTTATTCTAATCACCTCATCAAACTCTTCCTGTATATCCCGCAGTTTATTGAAAAGGATACGACTCTTCTCAGGAGTAGAAACATAAACCAAATCATCTGAAAATAACAAAAAAATTTAAATTAAACTTATTATAAAATTTATTTATTTAAGCATATTTAATGTGTCATAAATATTATGCCAGTGCTATAAAGAGAAAATTTTTTCCCCAAAGATAACTATAAATACCTAAAAATATATGGACTTTTATTACTTGTAAACCAATAATGTTAATGTTGACATGAGTGGTGTATACACTGTATAGCTGACATTAAAATGCAATTTATGGATGGGCTATATGAGCTATAGGAGTTTCTAAGGGATTTATCAGAAAAAAATTTAAAAATAAAACATTTTCTTCAAGTCATTTTTGACAAAATT